CCTAACTCCTACCTTTAATCCCATGTCCCTGATCTCTAATTCAGAGACTTTCAAACACATTAGGGCCAGATGAAAACCAGAAAGCTTTGTGTGCCCATGAGTTTAATGTGTTGACGTGGCTGAGCCTATAGTCCCAGATTGTTTGGCTCCAGCTTGACCTGACCACCGCCATCTTGAGCTGTGACAGCCACAGCTGCCCCAGAGTAACCCTAGCCTCTTCTTCCTGCAGTTTCTCAGCAAACTATGAACAGAGGAAATCGTCAGAGTGGGGTGTGGAGCTTTCACACTGGACCCTGGCTCCAGCAATGCCAAGCTTTTTTTTGTTTTGTTTTTTTTCCGGTACCAGGAATCGAACTCACAACCTTGTGCTTGCCAGGCAGGCGCTATGCCGCTGAGCTAAATCCCCAGCCCCAATGCCAAGTTTTTTGATAACTACTTTAAGATAAACCAGACACATTCCAGCTAGGAGGAAACCACTTTTGTCCTAACCCATGGGTACGCCCCTTTTCTGACCCTAGCTGCAAGGACTCAGTTGGCCCATACTTTCATGAGAAAGTCCCTCAGGAATCAGCACTCAGTGCAGTCGTGGACCTGCCTGCCTTTCTTCCTTCCCTCTCGTGGCACCCTAGGGCCGGTCCTCATATCCTAGGACTGGCTTGTTCCGAGCACAGATATTTCATCAAACACTAGCCTAGATGCTGCAGTGAAGGTGCAATACAGATGTAATGAACATCTACAATTTTTTTGCGGTACTGGAAAACAAACCAAAGGGCACTGTGCCACTGAGCTATATCCCCATCCCTTTTTATGTGGAGACAGGGCCTCACTAAATTGCTCTGATTGGCTTCGAATTTGCAATCCTCCTGCCTCAGCCTCCCATCACTGGGATTAGAGGATGAGCCATTTTGGCTGCCTTACAATCAGTTGACTGTAAGTAGGTTTCCTTTCTGTGTGTGTGAGGTACTAGGGATTGAAAGTGAGGCCTTCAGACTGAGCTAAGCTGCATCTCTCCCACCGTGCTATTTTTTTAGGCAGGATCTTGGTAAGTCACTAAATTGCTGGGTTGTGCTCAAATGTTTGCTCCTCTTGCATCAGTCTCCGAGTGCAATAGATTACTTTTTTTATGGGGGGGTTTTAATGCTTGTTTGTTTTTACTGTACTAAGGGTTGAATCTAAGACCTTCACACTGAGCTGTACCCCCAGGTAGCATGAAATTACTTTTGTGGTTTTAAAATTTATTTAAATAAACAGGGTCTCACTTTGTAGTACAGGGTAGCCTTGAACTTACTATGTATCAGAGATTGGCCTTGAAGCATGGTGATCCTCCTGCCCTACACTCCCGAGTGCTCGGACTACAGGCATGTACCACCATGACCCGCTTAAAAAGTTTAAATTTTATTTATTTATTGCGGTACTGGAGATTGAATCCAGGGCCTGCATACTGAGCTACATCCTGAGCTCTTTTATTTTTTATTTTGAGACAGACTCTTACTGAATTGCTAAATGGCCCCAATCCTGCCTTACCCTCCTGGAGTGCTAGGATTACAGGTGTCCACCATCATGCCCAGCTTTATTTAACACAGGATCTCACTAAATTGCCCAGGCTGGGCTGAACTTGTCATCCTCCTGCCTCCGCCTACCAAGTGCTTTTTTCAAATTTGTGCAGAACCGTTTAGGGAAACTATTCAGATTTCTTTGGCCACCTCCGTGTTCTTTAGGGAGCTAGAGTGGGAACCGGGCCTTAGGAGCCACCTTATTTTCTCAGGTAGTTGGAAGTCTGAACATTTCTCAACCTTCAGCTCTCCAGTCTCTCTCTTTTGCGTGTGTGTGGGTACCAGGAATCGAACTTAGGACCTCACACTTGCCAGGTAGGTGCTGTGCCACTGGCCTCCTCCAGTCTCTATTTAAACTATAGCTTGTTTTTCGAAAATCTTCGCCACATTAAATGAAAGCTTTCCTAGACATATAACCAGCTCATGCCCGATTGTGGCTATACACACTGCTCCCTCCCCTTTATCTTTACCCTTTCTTCCAAAATTCTATCCCAAACTCACCTCTACAAACCTGAACCAAACCTGCCTTCCCTACCAAGGCTCTGTTTACATTCCTGGCTCAGTACTTTTGGTTGGCAACCATAGTTATTTGCAGTATATATCAGGTAACACACGCACACACACAGGTTTTGTTTTGTTTTTGATATTCTGGAGATTGAACCCAGCAGGACCCTGCACATGCTGGGCAAGTACTCTACTACTGAGCTACATCTCAGTACTCTGATTGTGTGTGTGTGTGTGTGTGTGTGTGTTTGAATACAGAGCCTTCACACTCTGGCCCGATTTTTTTTTTTTTTTTTCCAGTACCAGGAACCGAACTCACAACCTTGCGCTTGCCAGGCAGGCACTGTGCCACTGAGCTAAATCCCCAGCCCCTCTGGCCCGATTTTTTATGAAGTCAAATTCTTCTTTTTTTTTTCCTCCACAGTAATGGTGATTAAACCCATGGTCTCCACATTTAACTACATTCCCAGCCCTTTTTTATTTTTTATTTTGAGACAGGGTCTCACTAAGTCACTAAGTTCCCCAGTGGGATTTGAACTAGAGATCCTCTAGTCTCAGTCTCCCAAGTGCTGGGATTACAGCCAGCCGTGTGCCACCGTGCCCAGCCATTATTGGCTATTTCCAAATTTTGCCATTATCTAGTTGCTATTTGTCCATTTCATTTGTTTGAAGCAGAGTCTCACTATGTAGTCCAGGCTGGCCTTGAATTTAGGGCAATCCTCCTGCCTCAGTCTCCCAAGTGCTGGAGACACATGGTGCCCATGTGCCACCATATCTGACTATTTGTGTTTTTTTGTGGGGGGGTGGTACTCAGGAACTTGGCAGGTGCTATATCACTGAGCTATATCCCCAACCCTATTTGTCCATTATGTGTGAGACATTTGCTTATAGAAAAATGGCTCTAAGCACCTTTTATAGTGAGTCTAAGACCCTAATTTTTTTTTTTTTGGTATCAGGAATTTGAACTCAGGGCTTTGCGCTTGCCAGGCAGGTACTGTGCCACTGAGCTACAGCCCTGGTTCCCAAAGAACCTAATCCTTCCCATACCAGTTTGGAGCATCATCTGACTTTGGCAGCACAGCTGAGCCAGTCTCCCTGGGAAGCAGCTGAGAAGCTGAATAGGTTCTAAGTAACGGCAGAGGCCTTCTGCTTCCGTTCTCACTCCGTGGTTTTATCAGCCAGGCCCCTGCCTTGTTCTCAGCTGAGGCGCCTGTGAACTTGTTTCCTCAGGTCTCCTCCTGTTCTCTGCCTGGAAGAGGCACGAAATCCTGAAACCATACCAGAGGGAACTGGAGCACAGGGGCTGCGTCCCTGCCTAATACCGAGCTGCATGCCCGGCTGCTTTACTGCAACTGCTGACGGACAGCCTACTACTGCCTGAGCAGCGGCACTACTCTGGATAGCGTGGTTCTTCAAGTGCAATCTCGGATTTATTTTTTTCTCTTTTTGAGACAGGGTCTCACTATGCTGTTCAGGCTGGTCTTGAGCTCACTTTGTAGCCGGGGCTGGCCCCAAACTCCCAACAACCGTCCTGCCTGGGCCTCCCAAGTGCTGGGATTAAGGGGTGCGCCACCACACTCACTGCAATCTTGGATTTAGTCTTGTTCTGCTCTCCCAGAATGAAGCCTTCAGGTCTTGAGGGAGGAAGGCAGGCTGGTGCTTTGGCCTCCCACCTTTTGGGTAAGCACTGTAGATCTGTCTCCATCCTTGCCCATGTAAAAGACTAAAATCCTAAGATATAATGCCATCACTTTATTCAGGAGCAAACCAAAAACAAACAAACAAAAAAAAACCAAACCAAACACAGGGCTGACACTGACAAACAACTATGTACAAAGTCACATAAATCCGCTGTCTTGCAGAGTAGACCCGGTCATGCTAAAGGAGGACGCCCGGAGGGTGGGTAGGCACCTCCAGCATTTTAAGCACAGGTCCCGACCCACCCTGGGTGGAAGCGGCCCTCTAAGCAGGAAGAGGCGGAAGTGGCAGCTGTGGGAGCTGCTCCTGGCTCTGCCCGCTCAGCGGTAGGCCTTGCTGAACTCCTGCAGGGCCCAGCGCCGGTTCTCCGCGGCCTGCTTGAGCTGCGTGTACTCCTTCACCAGCCTGTCGAACTCCTCCCCGAGGACCTCGTAGGTGTTCAGCACCTGTTGTGACTTCTGCATGTCCTGCTCTTGCAGGCGAATGCCTGCCTCTAAGCGGTCCCTAAGGGCCCAGGCAAAGAAGGGTCGTGTGAGGGTGCTGATGCCGCCAGCAGATCAGGGGAGCGTGTTACGGTGCACACGCCTGGCGGTGCGCGAGCCAGCCCGACAGTCCTCACCTAATGACACGGTGAACCTCCACTTTCTCAGCAGTGTAAGTGTCACACACGACCTTCAGTTCCTCCATCCTGGTAGAGGAAGAAAGGTCACAGCGATGATGGCTGAGAGCAGCAGAGCCAGACACAGACGAGGACCTAGCCATGGTTCAGATGGGGGCTAAGCAGGGGTGAGGGTAAGGTCATCCTCAACCCTGCACACTGATCTCACGTAAAGCACCTATGTCAGAAATCTGTGAAGTGATAGCCAAAAGCTTCTGGGCGATTCAAAGCTAATGCTACCGTGGGACACTTCCTGGTGCCCATAGGTGCCGGGCACTAGAAAGAAGAGACGGGGGCGAGGAACAGATGTACAGCGCACCCCCCCAGCTCACCGCAGCTTAAGGATCATGGCACTGCACTTGATTCCCAGGTAGTGCGCATTGATGCGGTCCAGCTCGGACTGAGTCTGCAGCCGGTGCTCCTGAAGGAGCCTCTGCAGCAAGGCGAGGCAGCGGAGAAGCACCTGCGCCCGGAGAGGGAGGAGGAAAAGGCTGTGAGCAAAGCCGGCAGAAGGTAGGCAGATCAGAAACGCCATCTCCCTAAAAGGGCAAGGGAGAGGGCAGCATGCACACCTGGGAGTAGCTGGCACTCTTCTTCTCCAGCAGCACCAGCTGCTCCTTCTGCTGGCTCTGCGCATCCTGGCACTGCTGCTTCTCAGCCACCATCACCTCTGCCAGTTTCCACACCTTTGCAGCCTTCAGGGTCTCACTGTCGGCATCTGGGCAGAGATGGAAGGCTGCCTGGGAAGTTCTAAGTGCTAATGTCCTTCGCAGGGCGGGGGTGGCCCGTCCACCATCCAGCCCTCTACATCTGCCTTCTCCCCGGTGCCTTCTGCTGCCCAACTCTCACTCAGGGGTCCCTTCGCTCTGACCTCTGAGTCTTGCTCTGGCCCCGAATTCGTAAGGTAAGGGGAACCCACAGGGATGCACTCTCCTCACTCCACCACCCTTCCCTCTCACTTGGCATCTGGCGCCTTGCTGAGTAAAAGGAGTCCTTCCTTACAAAGTTTCACTTTGCCTCCACCAGCAAAGAAACAAATCAGCATCTCTGATCCTTCCTTACGCTCAAAGAGCACTCAGAACCCTACAGCCAGCTGTGAGAACGGAGCCTGCACGCACCTGAACTGGGGTCATGGTAGCAAAGCAGAGTGAAACATTTCCTCTTGAGCTGCTCCTCCACCTCCAGCTGGAGCCGAGCTCGCATCCACACAAAATCCTACAACCGAAGAGGCCGAAAGACAGGTGTAAACAGACTGCCAGAACTAGGAGACCTCGCCTTAAATACATGAGGACACACCGCAATAAGCACAGAAAATGCACAGAGCCACCAGGGAGACGCATTGTTAGCCTATCAAGTTGGCAGGAAGGGCGGTGAGGCTCAGGGGGAGACTGCTGGTTGAACACATTCAAGGCCTGGGGTTCAACTGCGAGTACTACAGAAGAAAAAAAAATTTTAAGTAAAACGACTGTCAAGATATGATGTTGGAGGAGCTGGGGATTTAGCTCAGTGGCACAGTGCCTGCCTGGCAAGCGCAAGCTTGTGAGTTCGATTCCCGGTACTGGAAAAACAACAACAAAAAAATCATTAAAAGCCAATTGTTACAAGTAATAAAAAGAAGATGTGATGTTGGAAAAAAGAAAAGAAAGCTCTCATGTTGGTGATAGAAACAGGAACTACCACAGGTATACTGGAGATACCTTTCCAGAGAGCAGTGTGGTAGTATGTGCCAGTGTGGTAGGTTTTCATTTTTGCAGTACTGGAGGTTGAATGTAGGGCCTTCACACTTAGCTTCATCTCCAACATTTAAAAAAAAAAAAGTCTATTTATCTATATATTTATTTATATATTTATATACATATATATATATGATTTAGTCCTTTTAAATTTTGAGACAAAGTCTCACTATGTAGCCCAGGCAGGCCAAATTTGTGATCCTCCTGCCTTGCCCCGCTAGAATGCTGAATTACAAGTGTGTGCCACCACACCCAGCTTCGTTTTTATTAGTTTTTGGGTTTTTTATCTTTTTGAGACAAGGTTTCAGGCTAGCCTTGAACTCACAGGGATTTTCCTGCCTCAGCCTCCTGAGAGCTGGGATTATAGGCGTGCACCACCACACCAGGCTATGTTTGTTTGAGACAGGGCCTCACTGTGTAGTCCAGACTAACCCAGAACTCACTATCGCTGAGGCTGCTGAGAACTCCTGAACTTTGTGCCATAGCTCCTGAGTGCTGGGATTCCAGGGATGCCATCACACCTGGTTGAAATGTATCATCCTTTTTTTTTCTTTTCAAATGTATCACCTTATTTACAGGTATTTATTGATGTGAAAACAAAGTCTAGGGGCTGGGGATATAGCTCAGTGGCACAGCGCCTACCTGGCAGGGGCAAGGTCCTAGGTTTGTATTCCTGGTACCAGAAAAAAAAAAGACAGAAAGAAACAAAGTCTAAAATACATAACACCAAAACAAACTCTACACAAGAATGGAGGCTTAAAAAAAAAAAGAATGGAGGCTATAATACCATTTACATCAAGCTGTTTATAATAACACTGTTTCTAGATGTAGTACACTTCAGCTTTTACTTTCTCCTGTATAAAGATTTTTATTTGAGTTTGACCACAGTGGATGTATATAATTTTTACAAAAACAGTAAAGCTTAACACCCTATCTTGAAGAAATGGGAGAAATTAGGCTGGTTTGCTCCTCCCCTTCCAGTATGGGCCCACTCCCACCTCTGAGGGCGGCATGAGCTCCAGAAAGTCCGTCTTCTGCAGCCCTAGCAGCAGAGGCGTCTCCATCTCCTGGCCAGGGCCTAAGATCTGTGACAGTTCAGTCACAAGGAGCCGATGTTCAAGGGTCTCAAGGAACTGAGAGAGAATAAAAAGCAAGAGGTAATTATACAGTTTCTCCTGCTCTGCCTCTTACCTCCCTATGAACTGGTTCAGAACTCATACGCTTTCAAAGCCCTCAAACCTGTTGTCCTCTTCAGATAACTCAGTGGCAAGTGGCTTCTCCTGTCAATTTTTCTATTTCAAACCCCTGCCCAATAACCACAGTCCACTTCCTTTTTAATAAACCATTACTTGAAGCCCATCTTTCCCTCATACCACATCATCAGACACAGCCACAGCTGGCCTGGTCATTCCTGAAATTAACTGGTAACTGACACCAACCTCATCTCTTCAAATTCACCTTTTTGTCCTCAGAAGTTAAATTTGTGTCTTGCTTCTTCACATAGTAATCCACAAGCAGCTCTTGAAGGACTCGCTGTAAAATCTCAAACCTCAACCACGTTGTCTTATGCAGTCGAACTTCCTTCCATGCCTAGAAAACCAAAAACCAGGGCCGGGCATGGTGGCACACGCCTGTAATCTGAGCACTTGGGAGGCTGAGGTAGGAGGAACACTGTGAGTTCGAGGCCAGCCTGGGCTACAAAGTGAGTTCAAGGCTAGCCTGATCTCCACAGCGAGACCCTGCCTTAAAAAGAAAATGAAAACCAAAACCCTCAGGCAGGAACCTCTCTCAGAAGGATTTCCCAGGCACCCCCATCCTCTCTTCAGGGGCCCTCACCTCAGCCTGCTCCTTTGCCAGGGAGAGGCTTAAGCCACTCTCGTCCATGTACTGGGAGAGGCTTAGCAGCAGCTGGCTGAAGTGTGGGTTCTGCAGCAGGTCTTCTTCACTCAGGTTACAAGGAGGAAACTGTCTGCTGCACACTGAATGATGTGGGGACGGAAAAGCAGAGAGGTCGGACTCTTACTTTATACAACTGGGCTTAGCTTAGTTCTGGAAAACAGGTTTTGGCTGGGAAAAGTTTCTACATTTAAAGAGATTTTTAAAAGCAACACAAACTAAACCAGGTGTAATGGTACATGCCATTAATCCCAGCACTCAAAGCCTAAGGCAGAAGGATCACCATGAGTTCAAAGCCAGCCTGGGGTATGTAAGAAATTCAAGGGTAGCCTGCACTACATAACAAGACCTTATCACAAAACAAAACAAAACAAAACAAAACAAAACAAAACAAAACAAAACAATAAACTAGAGGTGATACTCAAAAGGAGCAAGCATCTGTTTTATATTCAAGGATTTTTATTTTTGGAGGGATTTTTTATTTTCTTTGGGTCTCACTATAGTTCAGGATGGCACTGAACTCATTACATAGCCCAGGTTGGCCTCCAACTCATGATCTTCCTGCCTCAGCCTCCAAAGTGTTAGGATTAATGGCACGTGCCACCATGCCTGGTTTTATTTATTGAGAGGGAGGATGTTGAAGTGTCTCACTATGTAACCCAGGCTGGCCTGGAATTCATGGCAATTCTCCTGCCTCAGCCTCCCAAATGCTGGGATCATAGGTGTATGCCACTGCAGCTGTCTTTTGTCATTTTGAGACAGGTCATCTATGTAGTACAGACTAACCTTAAACCCACAATCCTCCTGCTTCAGTCTCCCATGTGATGCAATTATAGGTACGTACCACCTCCCCTGGCTACACTTATGTCAATTAAAGGAAAATGGATATCTAATAAAACTAATTCCTTAGAAAAGGAAAATGCAGGAGCTAAAGATGTAGCTCAATGGTTAAATGTGCGTTCATATGAACAAAGCTTGGGTTTGATCCTCTACACTGCAAAAGGAAGGAAGGAAGGAAGGAAGGAAGGCAGGCAGGCAGGCAGGCAGGAAGGGAGGAAGGGAGGGAGGAAGGAGGAAGGGAGGAAGGGAGGGAGAGAGGAAGGAATGAAATGGAAGTGCAGTTGGTAAACATGAGACAGAGAGAATAAGGAACCTTTTAGCAGGGATCATCACAGCACCCAAATGCCTCATTTGAGAATAATTACTAGAGTTTTGTTTTGTTTTTTGAGACAGGGTCTTGCTATGTAATTCAGGCTGGCTGGACTTACTATGTAGCCTAGGCTGACCTCCTCAAACTCATGGCAATCCTGATGCCTCAGCCTCCCAAATGCTGAGATTACAAGTGTACACTACCATGCCTGGCACTAGAGTTTTTAAAGATGGAAAAAAAACACATATAAAATTCCAACCTTGGGGCTTGGGATATAGCTCAATGACATAAGTGCCTGCCTAGTAAGCACAAGGTCCCTTAGAGTAAGTAAAGAATAACCAAACTCTCATAAGTGTAAGCACAGCTGACTAACCCTTGTGGACACAGACCAGCACTAGGATGAGAAAAAGTGCAAGAAATCAAGTTGTCTGGTTATTCCATATGCTCAAGGGGGCTTTCTTTCCACTGCTTTCTGGATATGCTCTGCTGGATCTTTTACCTCTGCTCACCAAGTTTTATATCCATAGTCCTTTAAGAGAATAAGAACTCTCCTTTTCTCTCCTCTAAAGTACTGAAGGATCCAATACAGAAATAGTAAAAATATAGAAAATGCAAGTTCCTGGCCAGGCATGGTGGTGCACGCCTGTAAACCCTGCACTCAGGAGGCTGAGGCAAGAGAATCACTGTGAGCTCCAGGTCAGTCTGGGCTACATAGTGAGACCTGTTCCCACCCCAAAAGAAAACCGAGTTTCTGGAGGATTTAAGACATAGAAAGGGTCTCTTTTGAGATATCAAAAGAGATTGAGATACAGAAGGAGCTCAGATTCTGGAGAACAAGATATGAACAAGCTCAAGAAGGAAACCATCAAGGAACTGGGGAATTATGTTCACCTTTATCACACACTTCCCAGTGCAGCACAGAGCATCCCGAGTTTGCATAAGCAGGTACGGAACCCACACTAACAGCATTTGGTATAATTTTCTTCCCAAAAATAGTGTTCAAGAAACTCCACATATTTTAGTTTTCCCAGAAACCTGGGTTTCTGTCAGAGAAACCATACTAATGGACACTATGAATCCTTTAAGAACTCAGGTAAGACCTCTGATTTGGGGGGAGAGGGTTAGTGGGAACTGAACCCAGGCTTTTGTACTGAGCTACATCTCTGGTCTTTTTTTGAGACACGGTCTCATTTAATCACTCAACTGCCCACCCTGGACTGGAACTTGCAATCTTCCTGCTTCAGCCTCCTGGAGTGCTGAAATTGTAGGTCTGAGCTACCACACCCAACCCAGGTAAGACCTCTCTGGAGAAAGTCATCAAACGTTTTGCAAGTATCTACCCTTACCTTGTTGAACTATTTCCATCCCTTCTCCAGGTAAGCAGAAATCTCCAGACGCCATTTTTATTTTCTTAGGTTAGGATTTCTATCTGTGCTGAAACAAATCAAAGAAAACAAAAAGATGAAGAAATAGCTCCTGCTCTGTTTGTAATAGTTAAATCTTGGAAACAGCCCAAATGCCCATCAACTGATGAATGGATAAAGACATGGTTTGTTTGTTTTTTTATATGATGGAGTACAACTACTCTGCTATTAAGAAGGATAAACTTAGGACATTTCTAGCTAAATGGATGACCTTGAGACCATACTCTTAAGTGAAATAAATTAGACACATATGTTTACTGCATTGTTTCTCTGATGTGAGAAACCGAAAGTGTAAGGACCAAAATGTATAATAGATATCGAGGGCCAGGGATATAGCTCAGCAGCACAGAGCCTGCCTGGCTGAGGTCCTGAGTTCAATTCCCAGTGGCCTCCCCAAAAAAGAAAGATATTGGGAAATGGAAATAAAGTGTTCAAAGAAGGTGAACAAGGGAAGGAGGAGGGGAAAAAGAAAAAGGGGAGAAAAAAAGAATAGAAGGAAAAAATGGAAACAAACCTTTTACAAAGAGAGGAAGAGGGGTTGAAGGGAGGGGAAGGAAATGGGGGAAAAAGGAGCAAGGTACCATGTACAGGTAAAAGTTCTCTACGATGAATGTTAGCATTACGTGTATCTAAAATGCACCAGTAAGATTTTTTTAAATTGCAAAAAATAAATAAACAGCTCCTGCTCAAGATGAAACTGTTCTGGGTTTGAATATCTGTTATCCACAAGCTAGGAAGGAACTGCAGGCATGCCTTTTACAGAGAGGGGCTAAATCACACATCCTGGGTCCCAAGCTCTTATACAGGTTTCATGGACAGACCTACCAACACCAAAATATTTTGCATTCCAAGCATGTAAATGTCTCCTTCTGAGCTGTCCCAAAAAAAGCCTCTTTCTGAAATGAAAAGTCTCCAGTTCAGTAAGGTCTACTCAGGAGGGTTCCCCACTTGTTCCACTATAAAGCTGAAGTTAAAACTGTGCTGTTTGCCAGTTATGGGCGAAGTGAGGAAAGATGGGGGAAAAAAAAAAAATCAAAGCTCGCTTTTGTCCCCCCAGTCAAATAACTCAGCTATCAAATTCCACCAATAGTTTCTTTGTGCCTCTTTAACTTGTCTTTCACTGAAGATCTGTTGGTAGTTTTTGAGCATTAGTTCTGGAATCATCCTTCAGGTGTGACAACAGTCCACACCTGTGAACAATTAGTTCTCACATAACAGCGTCAGTAAGGAGCACCCGGAGGAATAGGGCAGACAAGACTGGCAGAAAGGTCAGTGCCAACGCAATAGGGTGAAGGTGTAGTCAGTGTGCCTGAGAGGGACGTGAACTATGGCCAGAACATGCAGTGCCAGATAAAAAAAAAAAAGACATCAACACAGGGGGCAGGAAAGATGAGCACAGCCTGGCGTGGTGGTGCACACCCGTAATCCCAGCACTCAGGAGGCTGAGGCAGGAGGATCATCACGAGTTGGAGAACAGCCTTGGCTACAAAGTGAGCTCAAGGCCAGCCTGAACTGCATAGCGAGACCTGTCTCAAAAAAAGAAAAAAAAAAGAAAGAAAGATGAGCACAGTGTGGACTGGGAGGCAAAAGCTTCCCTTTGACATTATTGTCCACGTTTTTGCTCCGCCCCCTTCTTTTTGTAAGGCGTCCAACTCCAAAGGGGCAGCTGCGCCTCCAAAGCAGGTCAGACACGGCTGGTTATTACGATTTAACACTTCACGTTCACAGCACGTTGGGTTTACTCGCTCCTTTTACGAGGAACATCAAAGTAACTGCTCATTTGTTTTGTAACGTGGTCGGGACGCCGCTGAGAAGGCAGAACGCGAAGGCTTAGTTTGCTTCTGTGTGAACTGAAGAGAAAATCCCCTTTTGGGTGCCACCCTTTTTTTAACCTGCAAAACTGAGATAAAGATTCCTGCCTTCCCGAGACATTAAGAATTACTAACACAATCGACTTGTTAACAGAAAGCCACTATTTAGTTAAACTCAAGCGTTTTCACAATTCTGCTATCATTTTCCAGCCTGGGCCTGCATAACGAGCCCCGCGGGTGGACCCCGCACACACCGGAGGCGCGCCCACACGCCCGCGGCGGCCTTGTTTTCGGGCGCCGCCCTCCACCCTCGGAAACGTCTCAGGGCGCGCGGCGGCGGCGGCGGCCAACGGGCTGCTCGCTCCGCCCCCCCTCGGACGTGTTCAAACGCGGCCGCGGGGACCCAGGCCCTGAAACGTTCTGACTCAGGCGTCCTCCACGTTCTCCGCGCTGCCCTTACACGCCGCGCTGAAGTTAAATTGATTTTACAGGTTTTCTCACGAGGTGCGAGCCCTACAGGGCGCGGGATGAATCAAAATGCAGAGCGGCTCCCGGCGCCGCCTTGCCGATTTCCCCCGTCTGGGCGGCCTCCCCGACGGCTCCGGCGGACCCCGCGGTCGCGGCCCGACCAGCCTCCCCGGCGACGCGGCCCA